CAGGCTTATCAGCCAGCTTTTTCACCAAACACGTAACTTTTACTTTCGCGCGCTGAATTGTGTAATAAGCCGAAAAAGTAAGGTTGGAGTTACTTTTCTGGCTGTATTGGCTGAAGTTACTGTAGAGGACCATTTTAGCTATTTTTACATATAATTTTTTCTTTAATTTATTAATAAAATATATTTTTAAAATATTTTTTTCTTAAATCAGCAGAATCAGCCAAAACAGCCACTCCAGCCAGAATATCATAAATTTCAGCAGAATCAGCCAAAACAGCCGATTTTGGTGCTACCAAACGGGCTCTTAATACTGTAATTTTATTCAATCACAAATTTGGTCGGGTAATTAATAAATTTGTCCATACTAAATGCATTTTTATCAAAAGTCGAACAAAATAAAAAAAAAAACCAAAACTGACCTCACTTTAGGTAGTTCGTTTTATGCCTTTAAATTTGTAAAGTTAGTAAATTTACTCAATTGAAAATGATCAAAATACGCTAAATTTATCAAAAATTGAAACAAATCAACTTAAATGAACCAAACCCACTCAAAAATGAAGTTTACTACTCAATTTTACCATTAAAAATTAAATGCAAGAAAATTTCCAATTTGCACTCTTTGTTATCACTGGAAATGAGATCATTATAGGTATAATAACAGCTTGTAAATTAATATTTGACAAAATATGAACATGTTTACATGTAAAAATACTGGTAAAAATACTGGTAAAAATAATTAGGGCGACCCATGACCTTATATTCGGTTCCAATCTCCTAATTGGTCTAGATTCGCTCCCAATAATTCAAATATTTTAACTACATACTACGTGAGTATTTTTCAACTTGTAAATGGGCTATAACCCATCTTAAAATATTCTCAATGGTTTTAATGAAAAAAATGAATGAGGTCAAAACAAGGGCTCCAATCCCGATCCCAAAAAGTGAGGCACGGGGCCTCTTTTTCACCGGTCTGGTATCGGTCCCGATCTGAATTCTTAATTTAAAATTCGGCCATTCTCGAGATCGGGCCTTGTCCTCCCCGAATATGAATCACAAAAGTAGGTATTTTGACCACTTTCCATACGAATCAACAATAGGTAACAATAGTCTCCTAAAAGTTCTTCACCAACATCTATTTTAGGTATAAAATAATATTCCTCGTTATCGGGCATCTTTCCCTCGTTAGAAAAGTTTCACCAAGATTTCTACAATCTCAGATATATTTTCGAACTTTTAAAAGTAATATATATATTTATTGTTTTAAGTTTGTACCTTTCGATTGTGTCTGCTACTAGTTCTATAATTTTACTCACATGTAGATGTAGTTAAGTACCTAATAAATTTGTCAATAGTAAGGACTATTTCATCGGAAAGTATGTGTTCCTGCAAAAAAAAAGTACTTTCTGGTAGAAAGATTCTTAATACAGGTAAATTTATTAAGTATCAAATTGAATCTGCAAGTGAGAAAATTTATAAAACTAAATTTATACTTTTTCTAAACGTAATTATGAGTTATTAAATTTTCATTAAAGGATAGGGAGGGGGTAAAAGCATGTTTTCAAAAGTGTGGGAGTCTAAGTGATAATACATGAAACCTCGAGGGAGGTCAATGATAATTTTTCTTTGATAAAATAAGTGTTTTTAAGCCAAAAACTGATAAGTGCTTTTTTAAAGCATTTGCAAACCAGCTTTTTTTAATACTTTATCACCGGTTAAAGTTCATAAACTGTAATTATCAAATTTTAGTGGAATGCGATAATTAAACATTTACCAGTGTGTCGTGATATTGAGGGAGTGTTTGCAACTGCTTAAAAAAAACACTTCTCGCTTTTTGCTTAAAAAAACAATTATTTTTACCAAAGACTTCCAACTTTTATTTTTCAAAATCACTTTTTTCTCAAACACTATCAACTTTTACTACTAGTCACTTTTTCCAAAACCACTCTACTGAAATTTCTCTGCTTCTCATACAGCGGTAGCAACCAACTATGTTTTGGCCTTTTCTAGAATAAAAAAATGTGTACTGTTCTCTTAATTTGTGTAATATAGTCAAGTACAAGTACTTTTAAATTTTAATATTGTGGTTTAGTAATGTGTACCTTTCATGCAAAAATTAGACTTAACATTCACGGAAAATTCTCGAAATACCAATAAAACTAATGTAAATCTGAAATATGAATAATATTGTTTTATCTAAATATGAACAATTTTATGTCATTTTAAAAATTACTGTTATGTTTTGACATTATCAAGTTTTAAATATGAATATATATCATCATAATTGCATGACAGTATTTTTCCATATTTGCATAATCTTATTAAAATTATCATGTAATTACTTCTATTAAAATAAAATACTAATAATAAAATACATTTTCTATATTTTATCATAAATTACTTCTATTAAAATAAAGACATAACGCTCATAATCTTATACGGAATATTATAGAATTCCAAAAAACGTTTTTACTTCTATTTAGAGTAGAGTAATTTCTTTCATGATTTTAGAATAAACAAACTAGCTAATTTAGAAGCTGGAAAACAGAAATATTTTCCAGTTTTCCAGAAAACTGGAAAACTGGAAAACAGAAAACAGGAAACGTGTTTACCAAAGAAATTCCTGGAAAACTGGAGAAAGGAAAAAAGAAAAACGCGTTTACCAAATCGTTTTCCAAAACGGAAAAAATGAAACATGTCTCTCTTTTCCTTAATGATTTGGAGAAGTGACTTTTACTAGTTTTCCAAATTTGGAAAACGTAGATGCTACAGTGCCTTTCAATGAATTTGCATATTTACACCTAGTGGTGGGTCCGGTCCCGCTCCGATGTCGATTCCATTCCGGTACCTCCATCCTCGTACCTTACCCCTTACCCCCACCCCGCGTACCCATTTTTCCCTATAATGACCTTACCCCACCCCCCACCACATGCCCCGACCTCGGCCCCACCCCGATCCACCCTACCCTACTGCCACCCCCCTACCACCTCGATCCACCCTACCCTACCACCTCGACCCCACCCTGACCCACCCTACCCTACCCCACCCCTCGTATATTACCACTTACCCCTACCTTACCCCTTACCACATGCCTCCTACCTCGGCCCTACCCCACCCTCGTACCGCCATCCTACCCCACCCTCGTACCGCCATCCTACCCCCACCCCTACCCTACCTCGGCCCCACCCGGATCCCGGGCCCACCTTACCGCCATCTTATCCCAACTCCCTACCCTACCCCTACCTTACCCCAACTCCAAACCTTACCCACTACCCCCACCCCTTACCGCCATCCTACCCCCCCACCCCTTCCATACCCCGGCCCTGGTCCCGACCCCACCCTACCGCCATCCTATCCCAACTCCCTACCCTACCCCTACCTTACCCAAACCCCAAACCCCAAACCCCAAACCCTACCCACTACCCCCACCCTTACCGCCATCCTACCCCCCCACCCTACCCCAGCCCCACCCTGGTCCCGACCCCACCCTACCGCCATCCTATCCCAACTCCCTACCCTACTCCTACCTTACCCCAACCCTACCCACTACCCCACCCTTAACCCTAACCACGACCCTAACCCACCCACTACCCCCAACCCCTAGACCTTACCACCCCACCCTAGGCATGGCAATGGGTCGGGGTGGGGCGGGTATTGCAAGACCCGGACCCGTCCCGTGACTTGGCGGGGCGGGTCCGCCCCGCCCCGTAACCTGCACGGATCCAAACTTGTTGACCCATGACCCGCCCCATGCGGGGCGGGGCGGGTCCGCCCCGCTGCAACCTAATTAGCTAGTTTGTATTTTATTTTGTGGGAAGTTGTTACCAATTGAATCTACATAATGTTTATCTCTAAATAATAATAAAAAATCAATATATTAAATCAAATTCATTATACGCTAAAAATTTCAAAAATTAAGGAAAAATTACTCAAACTTGAAATAGTTAATCTAATTAGTTATATTAATAATTGAATAAATGTATTAAAATTCTATATATAAAGAAGACATTGATAATCCGCCATCCATCTCATTCTAATATATACTTATTTATATATTATAAGATCAAAGAATTTATGATTTATTGTATACACACATATGTATGTTGAAGTATATTTGTAGTATAAGTTAAGAAAAAATATGTATACTTATATATTGAGCGGGTCGGGGCGGGTCGGGGCGGCAGGGGTCAATTCTAATACTCGGACCCGCCCCATTGTATAGGCGGGGCGGGGCGGACCCGCCCCATTTGCAAGACGGGGCGGGGCGGACCCGTCCCAAATGTCTCGGGCCAGGGCGGGTCATTGCGGGTCGGGTTTTTTTGACATCCCTACCCCACCCCGACCATACCCCTTACCCCACCCCCACCCATAACTTCCCTACTTTGACCCCTACGAGTAGGTATGGGTGGGTATGAAGGGTTGTGGTGGAGTATTGGTAGAGTGTAAGATCGTGGTAAGGGTAGAGGTATGGGTCAAGGGTGTGGAATTGGAGAACTGTGTGAAAAAATTGATGAACATGTTTTCAAATTTGAAAATGGAAAATTAAAAAATAGAAATAGAAAATTGGAGATAGAAAAACTGAAAAATAAAAACAAAAAATTGGAGAACGAAAAACCGAAGTAGAAAACAGGAAAATATCTCTGTTAGTAAACAGGCCCTAATGTTTTTAGAAGAACAAGCTAGCTATAAAAAAGATGGGATAAAATCAACTCGACCTATAGCCTATAGGCTATAACTAACCACTTAAATAATTATGAGTTCTTCGAAGAACGATAGAATGGAGTATATTAAGGCTCTGTTTGCAAGTGATTGTGCTTAAATAAAAGCACTTTTTGAGAAAAAATGATTAGTAGTAAAAATTGGTAGTGTTTGGTAAAATAAGTGTTTTTTGTGTAATAGAAAAAGTAAAAAGTAGATTCTACCCGAAAATCGAGAAAGTAAAAGTTGATATTGTTTGGTAAAATAAGTGATTTTTTCTTTAAAAAAAAGCCAAAAGCACTTAAATTAATTGTTTGCAAACAAAGCCTAAAAGGGAGAACTGTTGAGCCCAAGTAACAGAATATTTTACTAGCCTATATCTCCTAATCATCTAGAGTAATTCCACTATTACCACTGTATCTACCTCCATGAGACTTGTACTCAGTGTACTCGGTCTCACTTCGACTCAACCTGAAACCCTTGTTCTCTCATGTTTGTCTTCACAATTCCAACTTTGCTTTAACACTCGAATGTATCTCATCGATCAATACAATATCGTCGGCAAACATTATACTCAACGGTATAGCGTCTTGAATTGATTTTGTAAGTTCATTCATGACTATGACAAATAAGAAAAGGATCAGAGTCGATTCTTGGTGCACTCTGAATCTCTGATTATCAAAGGGGACTCTATAGTCCTCCATACACTATTATGGATGCTTGTAGTACATTCCACATACATACCATGATGATAATGATGATGATCGAAAGCTGTGATCATTCTTACAATCTTACTCATTCAGAACTTTCAATTCGGCCGTATTCCTGATCAATTGATCATTATATACGGAGTATAAGGATAATGTAGGCTAGATGGAGACGGGGCGACTCCCTTGAGCTACGAAGGTCAGATTCCCTTAAATATTGGAAATTTGCAGGTTTTGTGAAGAGGATTGATTCTGATAATGGATGGAGAATCTCATATAAGTTTAAATTTGATAGGGAAGACACCGTCAAACAGGTTAGAGAACCAGTCGGACCAGATTCAACTAGCACAGGACATCGAAAATGAATTCAAATAGAAAGTAAAATATTTATTTTGAGATTGAATCTTTAATGCTAAAAAAGAGTCAATTCAAGGCGGGTCATAACGTCTCTATTCTTTTGGATAAAGATGGTGTTAATTGGTTTTATGATTCTTTCTATCATATGCAATCCGGGAAGGATTGAAAAATTACTAGGTTCAAGACCTCTAGAAAATTATCTATTTCTTTTGAGGAAAATACATTTGGGGGATTTATTTGTTTGGTGGTGATTGATAATGAGAGTATTTCTACTTTTATTATACCAGAAGGTAGGAATTGAAACGCCTTGGTTTTTACCTCTTTGGTTCTAGTTCATAAAGTCATTTTGATATTTTAAAAGAGGTAATGAGAGCACATGGAATAATGTGTGGGGAGATTCGTGAGACCATGAAGTCTATTCCAAAATGGTTATCTTACTTCTATTGATTTTATTTCTCCTCGTGAGACTAATTATGCTAATACGGAGATTTCCATGTTGACGGAGAATAATTGTTATGATAGTATGGCTAGAGAAGCAAGGGACGATGAGAGTAATGTGGAGGAAGTCTTGCTAGTAATGCCAATTCAAGTCTCGTGCCTTGAACTAAGTCAGCAACAATCAATCAAGGACAATTCTCAATTGGATTTTGATGCGGTTTCAGATGAAGGGTCTTTGGGATATGACTCAGATCAAAAGCGACCAGAACCGGCTTTGGTCCCTAAGAAGATAGGCAACTGCCTAGGGCACCACTTTGACAAGGGCATCGTTTTTTTTTTTAAACTAGCTATAGTACTACTTCGTATTACTTACCGTGTACGTACATTATGTATTAGTTAAATTGAAAATGTATTACTCCCTCCGTCTCATTTTATCCATCCTATTTTCCTTTTTGTGTTGTCCCAAAATAAATGTCTCATTTCCTTTTCTTCAAAGAAATATGTGGTCTACATCATTTCACTTTATTATACTCAAATCTCAACCACAACTTTTACTTTTTTAACCACTTTATTAATAACTGTGTCAAGTCAAACTAAGACACAAAAATGTGACGAACGTAGTATTAGATAATTTGGAAAAGACAAAAAGTGCATCAGTATAAAAAGGGCCCATTAACCCAACGACCAAACCCTATTTACTATGTGAGTGCTTAACAAGGTAATATTTTGACAATTAACATTTAGTTTTTCAATTCTTTAATCAATGCTCGTAATAATAAATAGAATGCAAAACCCATCTGGAAAAGTGGGAAGTCATTCAATAATAATTTACATTTTAACCAACAAAACCAATGTCTTTTGAGTTTCTATACTTGGAAAATCAAAATCGCCGTCGGTCCTTCCCCAATTTCTAAGACACTAATTTGGTAAGAGAGAATTGCCTGAGTAAAAACGTTTTGAAATTCTAAAATAGGACTATCATGTTTTATATTCCCTGAAGAGAAGTAAATTTCTGCCAAGTTTGGCATTACTAGGCTTTAAACATGACATTTTTTCCAAACTTGGCAGATTACTCCTATTCAAGAAATAAAAAACATGATAGTCCTATTTTGGAATATCAAAACGTTTTTAATCCTATTTAGGGAAATTTCTGATTCGGTAATTCATTAGTAACTCCACTAAGATGGGATAATTTTCACCTTTTTTTTCAAGTGAAAACCGATTAGGCTTCACAACATTCCAGTTAAGACCACAACAATTGTTAAGGTGAGTTGTTTAATTTTTACAATTTTATCGTTGCAATTGATTGTCATATGTGGAAATGTGGAATTGTTGATTGTGATTTTTCTTTGTAAATTTGTTGTATGAATTTATACTTAAAGTTTTTGTTGTTAGAGTTATTCTGAAATTTGATCTTTATAAGTTATATTTACAAACGAATAATTATAATATAAATAATTAGTGCTAGGTTATTATTTCGCAGTTTTGCTATGATGGGGTCATGGGAAACGGAAGCACCTGTGGCTTTTAAGAGAAAATTTAAGAAAATAATGAAATCGTACATTACAATCTTTTGCGAGTTTATGGATAGGAATGTAAAAATATTTCTCCTTTGATATAGAATAGGAATTTAGACGAAGCACTCGACTTCAAGCTAAAAACGGGATCAAGGGTTAGATTTACCTTGGAATATTGCGATAGGAAAGATTTGTCATGTTTGTTTTTGGAAGGGTGACTTTGGCTTATTTATTTGGAATTGTTGAAGACCTTGACTATCGGATTCTATATTTGGCAGGAGGAGGGCTTCTTTTGAGCGTGGATCATTAGTGTGTTATTTTAATAACTTTATGTTATTTCTTTAAATTTCTACCTTCATTAGCGGTTATACTCTTTTCTCTATTTTAATTAAAAAAAATTGCTACAAAATACCATGATGATGATGATATACTTGCGTGAATTGCTTTTACTAGTTAAGGACCACAAAAGATCTTCTCGAGGTACCTATCATATGTCTTCTCTAAGTCAATGAACACCAAATGTAGATCCTTGTTAGTGTCTCTATATTTCTTCACAAGTTGTCAATGAAGGTGGCCACAAGTAGTTAGTGGCCTCAGTTGTTGAGCGACCATACATAAAACTGAATTGATTCTCTAAAATCTTCACATTTCTTCAGATTCTTTGCTCAATCACTCGCTCCCAAATAAGTTTCATGGTGTGACTCACGAGCTTAATCCCTCGATAGTTGGCACATTTGTGTATGTCACCCTTATTCTTAATTAAGGGAATAAGAGTACTCTTCCACCAACTCGCTGGCATTTTGTTGTTTCTCCCAAACTTATTGACAAGACTTGTTAATCACTCGAGCATCTCTCTCCCAAACTTCTCCAGACCTCGATTGGTATGCCATTTGGACCCACTGCTTTCTTTTGACCCATCTTCCGCATAGTCTCTTTAACTTCTGTCGTTTGAATCCTTTTCAAAAAAATCCGATTTACCATACAATCTAGTATTATCATATCACCAATATTTATCGCTTTATTCCCGATGAATAATGTATCAAAGTATGACCTTCTCCTCTCCTTTATTTCTCCGTCCTCCATTAGTATTCATTTATCAACATCCTTCACACACTTAACTTTTATGATATCTTGGGCCCTACTATCATGAAGACGAGCAAGTCTATAAATATCTTTTTCTCTTTCCTTAAAGTCCAACTTTTCATACAACTCCTTGTTCACTTTTCCTCGTGCTTATTTTACGGCTTCATTTGCTTGTCTTTTAGCTTCCTTTTATGCTTCTATATTCTCATCATTCCAACTTGTTTCCAACTTTTTGTTGCAATCCATGTTATTCCTTATGGCTTGTTTCACCTCATCATTTCACCAAGATGTGTCCTCTTTTGGTGACAGACATCTTTCTATTTAGATTCTCCAAGTACCTCCTTTGCCACTTTGACATAATAATGCCTACTTCGTTTATGATCTTCTTTCTGCTTGAATACCACAACTCAAAACCTTTGTGATTAATCTCACGTGTTTTCTCTCCAACCTACTTAGCTTCTTGCACGCACATGATGCTGATATTTCTTCTCCTCATAACTTCAACTACCTCGGAAGATCGTCCTGTAAGAGACCAACATTCCATGTCTCAAAACGCAGTCTAGCACTCCGCTTTCTGTTCTTAACTCCACCTCGGATCCAACTATGTCCTTGTATATTTGATATCATCCCTGGGCAATGGGATGACGCACCACTTCCGAACGACGACCTAGCAACTTTATCATTCTTATCACCATACTCAGGCCTATGAAGTGTAGTGCGCTCTTGCATATTTGGCACCAACATTAGGCAGAGGGATGACGTGTCGCTTACAGGCGATAACCTAGTTGTGGTGATATTCATATTTCGATTCATGTCATGTGATGTGATTAAGTGATATTGTTGGCTATCACGCGCATACCACAACACCTTCATTCTTTATCATGTATTGGGACATGCATGATTCCAAAAATGATCTCATGGCGGAGTTGATTATTAATCTCATATAATTTTCCACAAAATAGTTGAAATTCAAAAAACATATTCATTCCCTCAAGAACTAGTGAACCTTATCCCAAATTTGAACCCTAGATGGAGTTAGATATTCTTACTTAACTGTAACATCAAAATACTATTCATAAGCATGATAAGGGGCTAGAAAACGGAAGTCGAATGGTTTCCTTTTCTCCACAAACATTGAGTACTTAATGAACAATATTAGTTAAAAAAGACAAACATATTAGTTAATGAAAAATATTAGTTAATGAACAATATTAGTTAATGAAATTATTAGTTGAAGACAAACAAATTTAGAACTCTCCAAAGTTAAGAACTAATAATGTAAAATATGCTGAAACTTATGACTTTGAATCTAAATGTTATTGAAACAAATTGAGGTGAAGTTTAGGAGCCTTAGCTCTACCACCTTGTTTGATGTTGCATTTATTCCAGAAGAAAGAAAAGTAAATCTCTGCTTGGTCTTCTTGTTTTATGTTGCGATTGTTTTCGGAAGAAAAGAATGAAAACGTAACCTAATACGGGATACAGTTGCTCCCCAAAGAAAGCAAGAAAGATAAACACAACTGTCATTTCTTCATTATCTAGCTCCCACTCACCGCTAAGTCCATTCAGCCACCCCTTGATTTTATTACGAGTACACTTCAAGTGTAATTATTTATGTAACATGGAGCATATGCTTTAAGTCAACCCACTTTAAATTATGACTGAACTAAAATATGAATGGTACTTAAGAAAGCTTCCATGAACCTTATATTAAGATTTGTGTCCTCTATGTAGACCAAAGTGGGCTCATATGAGACTCAAATGTAGAAAACAACGCATTGCAGAACAAAATTTTACGAGTAAGAGAGGTAACATGAATGCATGAAGAGTTGACAACTAAGATGAAGAACAATCATGGTAGGCAGACCGATGTTACATTCTCGAATTACAAAAACCAGAGAAGCTAGATGAAAGCTCAAAACAAAAGCAAAGATAAATATGAATATGTAAATACAGACCCATGGTTTCAAAGATCTACAACACTATGTTGCAAGAGTAATTGCATAAATAGTGCAGGCCAACGATATGATATTTATAAAAGAACTAGTGGTATATGCTTTTTAGGTCGTGACGATTCAAGTTTAATTTGTCTCATCATTAAGAATCTGATTTGTCAAGATAAATGAAGTGGCTAAATGAAAGACCAGTGTGTTTCTTGGCATATATAGTTATATACCATGGACATCTTATGTTGAAGATACTGTTGCCTTTTGCATATTAATCACTTAAAGGATAGATGTTAGTCATGCTATGTACGTAGTTAAGAAAGCAACACATGTATTACCAACACATAGTGAAGCCCTCACATTTCTCTCTCTTTGTCTCACATATCGGTTCACAATATATATACTTCTTCAAAACATTAAAAGTATTATAACAAAATATATATTTGATTTTTTTGAAAGGAATATATTTGATATATTAAGAAGAAAGTTTTCTTTGTTCTTTTTTCACCCCAAATTAAGAGTCGTATTTTTACCTCAAGAGACTAATTATGTGGTTTATATCACATACACATATATCTTAAACGTAAAATTTAATTACTACCTCCGTCCCTTTTATATTGAGACGGAAGATGGTGGCATGGGTTTTAAGAAAAGTGGGTCTGTGTGGTTGATATTAATTGATAAAGTAAGAATAAAGTAACAATGATTTTGAGCCACACAAACTTTACCAAATATGGTATGAGACAATTTAAGTGGGACTTCCCGAAATGGTAAAACGGAACAATATAAATGGGACGGAGGGAGTATGTAGCATATGGAAAACAATATGCTAGTATAGATGGAGTATACATAACTCTTGAAATAAAACATGCCAACAATTTATTACATATGCTCTATATTCGAGCTTATGTAATATTACATGTCGCCAAAAGGCAATATTTCTAAAATTAGCGATCATTCGTG